CACACACACACACACACAGAGAGAGAGAGAGAGAGAGAGAGAGAGAGAGAGAGAGAGAGAGAGAGAGAGAGACTGAAACACACATGAGTAAGTTTACTTTTTTAGTAAACCATGACAACCAGCATCAGGGCTGGCAGGATGGCTCAGCAGGCCCCTGCCACACAAGCCTGGTGAACTCAGATCAATCCTCAGGATCCACATTAAAATGTCAGATGCCACAGTTTTTGTCTGCACTGCCAACTACACTACTGTGAAATGGGAGACAGAGACAGGAGACCACGGCCTTCACAGAAATGGGAGGAACAATAAGAACGAGCCTGCCCTGACACAAGGTGAGAGCCAGCTCTGGAAAGAAGCCTTTGATCTCCACATGCACATGCGACACAGCATTGCTCACACTCACAAACATGCGTCACACGTGCAAGTGACTAATTTTTAAAAGAGAAACAGGTTCCCTTGCTGCCTTTGAGAATCACTTCATTGACCAGTATCTTCAGTGAGGGAGATGAAAGCTATTTCAGAGAAAATGGAGCTAGGAAACAAAACTGAGTGCCTATTCTAACAAAATAGATTTTAAAGTAAAACTATTCATAAGAGATAAAGTAGGACACTTCTTCTTTATTAAGGCAACAATGCATCAATAGTAAATTATAATTCTAACTGTTTTTTTTTTTTTGTCTTTGAGACATGGTTTCTCTGTGTGGCTTTGAAGACTGTCCTGTAACTTGCTCTATAGACGAGTGTGGCTTCAAACTCCCAGAGATCTGCCTGCCTCTGCCTCCCAAGTGCTGGCAGAGTGTCACCACTGCCTGGCTACAATTCTAATTTTGTATGCCCCAAATCCAGGTAGTCCTAATTTCATAGAAACAATACCAGTATATATGAAACAATACCAGTATATATGAAGCCTCACATTAACCCCAATACAGTAATAGTGGGGCGATTTCAATGTTCCACAATGGACAATAGATAAGTCATCTGACCAAAAAGAAATACAGAAACATTAGGGTTTGATGACATTCTAGATCAAATGGATACAAGTAATAACTAGAACATTCTTCTCAAACACTGCAGAATACATGATCTTGGCCTTTTTCTGAAGTAGAACTTATATTAGGACACAAAGCAAAACTCAGGAAGAGAGGGAAATGAATCTTGTATTCTATCTGACCAGAACTAAATAAAGCTAGAAATCATTAGCAAGAACAAATACAGAAAGCACACAAATTCATGGAGATGAAACAACTCAGTATGATTATGAAGAGGTTATTGAAGAAATTGGTAATTTTCTTCAATAGGAAATAAAACCTTCCTAGCATCGAATGAAAATGAAAGCACAGCATATGAAAAGAATTCAAACCACTCTGGAATTAAGGCTTGAAATTGGGAAATGGAACTTCATAATTTTTAAAAAAAATTCTATACAGCAAAAGAAATGTTAATTCTATTGAAGAGACAACCTAAAGAATAGGAGACTTGGAAAATATTTGACTGAAAATTCATATCCATAATATGCAAAGTATTAAAAAACTGCACAGAAGCAAATTAAAAGAAATATGCTATCTGCCCTCAAGACACTCCAGCACCCTTGCTTCACAAACCAAGTTCCTCACCCACTGCCACCCCTTCCCATGGCATTGTCCACCAGTGCTGCCAGAACCCCACTGCCACACTGGGCAGTTACTCCCTGCTCAGGTGCAGGCCATGCCAGTCAGAGCAACATGTGCATGTCACACCACTCAGAAGAACAGCTTTAGAACCATTCAGTCAGAAGAACAGGTGCAGGCCACACAAGCTAGAAAAACATACCACACCAGCCAGGACAGATAAACAGACTCAGGTAGACAAGAGGTCATGACAGCCACCAAACTCCAGGCCACAGTCCAGGAAGAGACTACCTACTGGACTAGAAACCACACCCATACTAGCCTCCAGACAGAGGGGTGTCCCTCATGAAATACATCCACTGCTCAGTGCCACCTGACACACATTATCCCCAATCCCCACCACACCTCATCACTGTGTCCTAACCCCCAACTCTGGTGGGACCCTCTGCTGGAACAAAGGCCATGCTTGCCACCAGAAGTCCAGCCCCCAACTTAGATAGAGACTCCCTGCTGGACAAAGTGCCAGAAATTAATGCTCAAAAACCAGAAGTCCACGAGGAAAAAAAAATCAAAGAACAGAACACTCATCTAACAAAGACAAACTCTGATGTTGCATCTATAACCCATATTCATCCCACACCCAGATGCCTAGATGACAGTGTAAAAACACAACCAACAACAGCCAGGGCAATATAGTATCATCAGAGCCCAACACCTGAATGTCTCAACACAGCTGAAGCATAAGAAAATGCCCTTAAAGTAACTGTATGAAGATGATAGGGGTTGTTAAAAAGGAAATAAATAATCTCTGAAGGAGATCCAGGAAATTACATATGAAACAATTGTAGGAAATGAATAAATCCTTTAAACCAAACAAAGAAAATAAACAAACAGTTGAAGGAAATGAATGAAACTGATTGAGACCTTAAAATGGAAATATAAGCAATGGAAAAATCAGAAAGTGAGGGAATTCTGAAACTGGAAAGTCTAGGTAAGTGAACTGAAATTACAGACACAAGCATCACAATACAAGAGATGGAGGAGAGAATCCCAGGCATTGAAGAAGCCATAGAAGAAATGGATGCATCTGTCAAAAAATGTTAAATTTAAAATATTCCCGACACAAAACATCCAGGGAATTTGCGACACTATGAAAAGACCAAACCTAAGAATAGTAGGAATAGAAGAAGGAGAAGAATCTGATCTCAAAGGCCAAGGAAATGATATTTAATGAAATCATAGAGGAAAATTTCCTAACCTAAAGAATGACATGCCCATAAAGATACAAGAAGCTGACAGAACGCCAAATAGATTGGACTAGAAAAGAAAGTTCCCTAGCCACATAATAATCAAAACACTTAAAATGCAGAACAGAAAAGAAAATTAAAGGTTTCAAGGGGATAAGGCCAGGTAATATATAAATGCATACCAATTAGAATTACTCACAGCTTTTCAACAGAGACAGTGAAAGACAGAGGGCTTTGACAGATGTTGCAGACTTGAAGAAACCACAGATGCCAACCCAGACTACTATACACAGAAAAACTTGCAATCAACATAAATGGAGAAAACAAGATATCCAATTACAAAGTCAAATATAAACAGTATATGTCCAGTAATCCATCCACACTGGGTGGAAATCCATAGATACTAGGTGGAAAACTGTAAGTTACCTCATTCATGAAATTGCAGGAAACGAATAATCTCACATCAGAAAAAAAAAGGGAAGGGAAACACTCACCAACAAATTCACATACTTACTACCATCTACACACAGACCACAATAATAAAATAACAGGAATTAACAATCTTCATTCATTAACATCATCCAATATCAATGGTTTCAATTCCCCAATAAAAAGACACAGGCTAACAGAATGGATGCAAAAACAAGATCCAGTCTTCTTCTGCATATAAAAGAAACACCTCAACATCAAAGATCTACAATACTTCAGAGATAATGGCTGGTAAAAGATTCTCCAAGCATATGGACACAAGAAGCAGGTATAGCTATTCTAATATCTAACAAAATAGACTTCCAACAAAAATTAATCAGTAGAGATAGGGATAGGATGCTTCATACTCACCAAAGAAAAAATTCACCAGGATGATGTTTCAACTCTTAATATCTATGCCTCAAACACAGGGCGTCCATGTTTGTAAAAGAAACATTCCTGATGTGGGAGGTCCTTCGAAATGCTACAAACAAGTGTTGCTTTCATTGGTTGATGAATGAAGCTGATGTGGCCTTGGACAGGCAGGATTTATCTAGGAGGGAATTCTGAACAAAGAGTCAGGGAAAAGAAAGACAAGGGAGAGACACCATGTAGCTACCGGGAAGGTGGGATGCCCGGGCTGTCTCTGGGAAGATAAGGCCATAGGGAGATACACATATCTATAGGTATAGGATAACAACTAAGAGAGAGGTAGACAGTCAGCCCACGTCCAAACAACTATAAATAAATATTTAGTCTCAGAATGGTTATTTCAGAGAGGCTGCAGGGACCTGATTGGGTGGACATAATCCAGTCCAGTGCTACTGTGTCTAGTCAAAGAAAATCACATCACATTACTAAAGCTTAAATACATTGACCTTAACACATTGACTTCAATAGTGGAAGACTTCGATACGTCACTCCACCATAAGACACATCCTCCAG